TAGTAGTGGTGGTGGTGGTTTTGGTCGTGATGACGGTGAAATTTATGGGTTGACCATAAATTTTTCTCTTCAGTGGGGTTATAAACCCACTTTTATTTCTTCTTTTGGGCTAATCAAGATGGCGGCAATGTGTTGGTGTTGGTGATAACCAACAAATTATAACAATAATCTACTTACCTGTCCAAGTTTAATCTTTAAAACATTTGTGCAAACACAATGGTCAATGCCGCACTTATCGTAAAATGTTCTGTTCATGTTTGGTTGACATATGTCAGATTCTATAGGTTCATTATTCACAAATGGTAAAATTGGAGGAATGAACACAACATTGTCAACGAGTGGACGCCCGTATTGTTGGCCGGCAATTCGTCCCTTGGAAAATAAACCGAACGAAGTAATCGTAATGTAATGCGTTGAATCGACATGGTAGAATTCTGGATCAAAGAGTTCTGTAAATAAGTAAACGTACAATATCATGATAACGAATATGTGTAAAGGTACCTTATGTTTTGTTCTGGTATACTAAGTCTGCATATTACATAACATTATAACAATACATTACGTTATCGTTTTCAGAGTACGGTATTCATGTAATTTTATATTATCAGCTGGATTATGAAATTATTGTGTGAGCGGTTGACGCAACGGTTGCTTCTGTCTCTTATACACATCTAGATGTGTATAAGAGACAGTAGTTATAATGTATATGATTTATTGATTGTGTTTTGTAAGATATTTTAACCATTTAGACTGTCTATTAAAACATGCAACATCAACAATGCTAGCTGAAAAATCAAAAGTAAAATTGTTCATTTAAAATACAATAATCATATAGGCCTAAGTTCACTTCGAACAATTCACAGATTTAAAAGTTTCCACGATGCACTGTTAATTTTACTACTGTTAACACGTACATTATTTAAAACTGAAAACTATTCCACACCAGATAGGCCAATATTACTGCTAGTGTAACGAACGCCGTTTGTGTGAACACTTTGGAATTTTAATCCGTGGATTAGCTTACGCCTGGCGTAAGCCACGCCAGTCTTACGCCGTGTGTGTGAACATAGCCTAAGAAGAAAGCCGTGGTACATAATATATAATAAAAATACAATATACAGAAAAAATGTTTACAAATTCAAAAGTAAGTACTGTAATTAAAAACAATGATACGAAAGTAGGCGAATCGTTGTACAAAACTTATAAAAAGAGAAAGTACTGTATACCGATTCATCTGATCTCTGCATACTTCCATTATCAGCCCAAACCGGGCTCAAACAAGAGCTCACAGTGTGGGATGCGATATCAAGTCGGATCTATTGATAATACTAGAAATTGCAAATTGCAAGTGAAGTGCTGCGAAGTACAACGGCATATAAATGTTCTTCGAACAAAATCATTTATGCGAGTCAAGTGAAAATAATGAATAATAAAAATATAACAAATAATTAATATAATAATTAGCACGCTGAAATAGGCTAGTAAATAAGTTTAACTGGGTTCGTAAATAATATTGGCCTCAAAATATTGTGGCTGAGACATGGGCCGATTAAACGTAGGAAACCTAGAAATATAGTAAAAACGCTGAATAGTAATACTCCAGCGTCGCGACATGCGGACGTTGGTACGAGTAGGTTAGTCTACAAACGTCGCCTAAAGTAATTGATTTTACCC